TATGAAGTACGAAGCCACGGACACTCTATCTCAGAGATATGGAGTTTATCTCCAGGAGTTAGGAGTGATAGCTTAAATCAGGGAAAGAAGCTCAGTCGAGAAAAGTCGAGGTAATGTTGTCTGGACGATCTCTTGCTTGGCTCAGGCAGGAAGTTCTATATGGTGCAATGTCAAGAACTAATATCGCCATCCACAATGGGCTCACAGCTCACCGTATTCGCCTCCTTGTGCTTTGATTTATTCCATTCACATGTGCTGTCAGTGCCTCATTTTCACTTCTTTCAGTCAAAGTCTACAAGCCGTCCTGAAAGAAGATGCGATATACCGTGTTCGATTCGCAATGCCTCAAAGTGTTGGCGTCATCGAAGAGGAGGATGAGAGCAGCGAACAACGCGACGACGAAGCCACTGTAACACAAGCTTTCATGGAAAGCGCGCAGTTTCTGGAAAGACCGGTGTTCGTAGACGAGGATTCGAACAGCGGTTACAGCGAACACATGTTGTAACTAGAACAATTCCGACATCATCCAAAACATTCACTCCGATATCATTCGATATGTTCATTAATCTCAATAAATAACTTATTTCTTACCAGTTTGGCTGACGCGCACTACCGCGCACATGATCAAACCTATGGTATTGATCACTGACAGGATTTTCGTGCAGACCACTAACACGTGGCCTAATTCCCATGTTTCAAACGGCGGCCCATTTCATCATATTTCACCTTTGATAAGCATTTGCCAATGTCTAGTGCTTATCACATTTATAAAAACACCCAACATTTGAAATAAAAACACCCAACCCCACACGCTTCCGTTGAGCAGCTTTCACGTATCCGTTTGCTGGTGGTTCTTATCATTCCTCACTGGAAAACATCTTTAGGCTTTTACTTTTGGGTGAAACTCGAGCGTTTAGCGGTCGAATCAATTTCGACTATCGCTGAGGAATAGAAACATTTGGCTCACTAAGTATTTGCCCATAGATTTGGGAGCTTCCTCTCTGACCCACCGTTCCCATCCTACCTCCTATTTCACCGCTTGCAGTCAACGTACTACCGTCGCTGCGGCGCACTTGAATTTAGTCCCTTTCTAGGGCTTTATGATATGTTATCAGCTGTTATCAATTCCTGCTACCCACCAACAATTTCTGTCCCTCCCCCCATCCTACTTCTTGGAACCAACGTTCTCTGAAGCGAGTCTTGAAATTGGTGATCCCCTTCTAAGAACCTATACGGTATCTTATCAGCTATTATCACGTCCCGCCACCCACCAATAATGTTCCCATCCTGCCCCCTGTCCTACTTCTTGGAACCAACGTTCCGCCGCTGCTATGACCCGCGCTACGAAGTTGGTGACCCTTCCCTTCTAAGGCTCTTTATGGTATCTTATCAGCTGTTAG